GCCTAATAAAGAAAAAAAATACAGGCATCTCGATGTTGGTTTTCCTGAATCACACATTTAAGAATGGTGCGTGGAATTCGTGACCTCTAGTTTAACTGGGAAAAAGACATAGAACAGCAATTTAACTTCAACATGTCAAGCTAACGCTTACAATCATACTGGCGGTGTGATTTATCGTTGGTTCGTCTGTAAGCTGTAGAAACTGTTGATTACCGGCTACACCACTTAAACTATGGATTTTTGTGATATAAAGCATGATCCACAAAAACGAGAGTGTTTTGAAAAGCAATAACGTACAATAAGACAATCATCCAGAAAACTGTGCTTATCAGTTTGATCGTGGAATAATGCATTTTTAACCTCTGCGAATTTAACTTGTCTAGTTCATATTAAAATTAAAGCCAGAAGTTGATAAATTATTTCGCTGCCTGTTTTCTGTTTAGAAGAAATGCCTGCATGATCATATGCCTTTTACTGTGGTGGTGGTGGTTCCTGTTGTTGGTGATAATTTTTTTTTGCTTCACTAACTATGTAATATTTTGAAACCGTTCATTCTGATACAAAACTCCTCGAAACGTAAACCAAAATTCCCGAAAAATTGTCGCCGGTAGTTCATTAAAAGGGCTGAATCTTACTGCGCCTTTCTAACTGGATGTCAAGAATGATCGAAAAACAATCACCAAGGCATAGATTCTTACAAGACTCTGAACCTTATTGTTAGGCTTTTTGTATCGCAAATCAGGCTAACGCAAATTCAAGTTTCACTGATTTCGACTTGTTCTGTTTATCGTTTCCGAGGAAATATCGATTGAATGACTAAGGATTTGTTGAAAACCTTCAGTAGAAAGATTAAAAATAGAGTTGTGCGACGTTTCGATGTTCCTAATATCATTTTCAAGGCAAGATTAAAGATATCGCCTCAGCCGAAATCCAAAATCATTGATCAGCAACACATGTACGTCGTGTACTATTCCAATGTGCTTCAGGCGATATGGACTATGTTTACTGTACTAAGCGATTTCTACACCCACGGGTCGCAGTGCATAGTTGCCTGAAATAACACCGAAAACAATTTCCCATGGGAACGCGAGAAAATAAATTTCAAAGTTAAGAGAAATTGTGTAAACAAAGGTAAATTTCATCATCAGTTTCATTTCACTAGTGCTTTCGAGTGTTTCATACGAAGTTTAACATTTGTTTTCGACATTTGGTGCTGTTAGGAATGATTTATTTTGAGAAGATATTTAAAACAGTCGCACAGAAGTTTCTAATACAATGTAAATAATCTTAGTACAAAGTTTGTGTCCACTAAGTTACTCGAACTTCTGGTGAATTTCTTCTTAATTTTGTTATCTTTGAATGGCAAAACCTATGCAATGAACGCAAACAGCCACTTTAACAACTAAAATTAATAAGAATCTCTTAATGGACAACAGATACAAGTTCAGCTTACAAAGTTACGTTGCTCGAAAATAAAATATAACCGAGAAAAACCCGTTTCTTGATGTAACTCCACATTGTAGACTTGCGGGTAACATGGTCGCATTTCAAGTGCACGGAAAAGATACCTACCGCTTATCAATCTCAGCTTGTTTGGCTTGGACTGAAGTGCTGAAATTAGAAATGCAAAGTAGGTAATGGTGACAACGAATGATAGGAAAGAGAGCAAATTATCTAAAGGATAATACGAAACAGAAAGGCAGCAGAATCCTACGTAATCAACACGACGAGCTGGTGTACACTTAACCAACCTACACGTCAGTGCGTGGAAAAAGAAACACATGAACACTTACTAAACTAAAGGAAAGTTTTTGTATAAGTTCTTTTGACAGGTTACAGTTTAGCAATAAATTAACCCAAGCTGCACGAAGAGGTTTGGAGTGTGCA